GCTCATATTACCTTAGCAGTTGCGAGCGCCGTAAAACCTTATACTACTACTACTAGATCTAGACTCTTATTTTTATACCGCGCGAAGCGACGAAGACCAAAAGCTGTTTTTAGATCCAGACATCAGCTGAAAAATGCGTGCTTACAGCGCAGCTGCGATGACTTTTGACCCCTGCTCGATCTAGATTTCCTGGTCGAGAAAAATTTTTTCGGTCAATTTCATCGGTTAACCGAACAATTTTGCATTTAACCGATCATTACTCGACCAAGATTTTTCGCTTACTCGCACACCACTAGTTGTCAGCCCTCCCCCCTCCTCCGCCCCAACCACCCGCCCCACTTTCTCGCGCAATAATGTACGAGTGGTCCGGTATTCTTCGATCCCCGCTTGTATTTTCTTTTCTTTTTTTTTTTTCTCAACAAGTGACAGCACAGCGACGAGTCAGAGTATTTATTACATTTTATCAGACAACTGCTGGCAAACTACTCGGTGGTAACGAAAGCGAAAGTAGATCTTGATTTTCCCGATCGACCCTCGGTGTCGCATACGCTTCCGCCTGCCGCCATAGTTGCCTTTTCGCGTGAAAGTGAAACGTACTCTCCAGACGGGGAAAAGATGAACGAATATAATATCACGATCGCGACCGGTAAAAATGAACTTACTGACCACATCGGACTTGGTTTTCAAATATTCCAGTTCTGCGAAACAGATACTATTTTGACAAAAGATGGGACTTGAGATAATTTGGTTTACTCGCCCAAGCTGGATCTCGTAGTTTTCGCATTCCAGGATGCGTATTTTTTCATGAAAAGTCGTATTCGCGTATTTTCGGCCAAAAATCGTACTAAAATACGTAAAATCGTACTGGTTGGCATCTCTGTAAACATAATGTTTGCACCGTTACACCACACACTAACCAACTATCTTGAGTTTTTTAAACAAATGTAAATTTGCCCAGTATACCACCAGTGAATTGGCCACCAAAGGTACACACTACACATATCGCACAATACCCATTTGGTGGCTGCTTGATGATGTGAAGCTAAACAACACAAAATCTGACACAATTCTTTGTAACACCGACAGTCCTCATGGGTGTGTTTTGTCACCAGTTTTGTATACTATATACCAACGATCATAGAAGTATATATAAAACAACACGCTTTAAAATTAAGTTTGCAGATGACTCCGCTATTATTGGATTAATAAACCATGATGAAAAAGAGTATTTCGAAGAAATATGTAGATTTTTTAAATGGTGCAACTCAAAT